CACTCAAGTCCTTGCTTAGTCAAACCGTTTGGACTCCCAAGAATCTTACTTAAACTGCTGTGATCACATAATAGAGAATAAACCCATTTTTGCAACTGGCCTGAAATTCTGTTTCTTCAGTAATGGAGGTTTGATATCCACTGACTGTTGATCAGATATGAACCAGACTCCTGGAAAGCAACACGCAGGCACCTTTCCATTATTCCTATCATCACACAGGCGAACAAAAAGATGAAAGAAATGGCGTGTTCTTGCAGTACTACTGCAATCAGCCAAAATTCTTAAGAAATTCACCTTGCTGTCTACAAATCCTGGAAGTTTTTTGTTAGTGAAATACAGACTATTATTTCTTTTCTCCCATGCTTCTGAGTTTCCATTGCACACAAGCCAAAGAAACCCTTTAATAATACTGTCAAATGACTGTCTCCACTGTACCAAACCTTAAGTGTTTTGAACGTTCTGGCTGTAATAAAGATATTCTGGAAATTTTAATATTTAGACAAAGACAACAGAGCATGTATAATTAAAAAGTAATAACAGAATAATACATCTATCCAACATTTATCATAATAAAAAGTATTTTGGGAGAACAATAAGCCCCAATAATATTTCAGAAAACCTAAATTTCAAGGAATGAAGATACTGTAGTACGAAATTATGGCCAAAAATATTGTATTTTTAACCAGCAACATTTTTGAGGGGCAGTAACTGTACAATATTTTTTTTTTTTTTCAAAAAACCCCTATTTCTGTCCCTCAAACAACACACAATACATGCATTTAAATGACACTTTAAGAACAGCAAATATGATCTTTATTTTAAATACTGCAAGTTTAAAAATGTATCTGACACCATCCCCACCCCCCAAAAAAATTGGTCAAATAAGGATTTCCTGCAGCATGGTAAATGAGGAATCCAGCAACAGAATTCAGCTTAGACTGTATTTTGAGAGAAAAAAAAACAAAACAAAAACAAAACCAAAGCAACAGATTTACAGTAAGATTGATCTGGCTTTGTATTTTTCACACTATCTTCAAAATCTCCCTCTATTCCTTTCTTCCCTGCAGAATGGCTATTGTGAGAAAGCTTGAGTGAAATGTACAGTAAAATCCCTTTAACTAGCTGAATAGTGACCCTCAATGTATTGTTGACTACGTAGAAATGTTTCTGATTTGACTGATAAAACTAAAAATGTTATGGGTAACCAAAAACCAAATAAGAGGAAGTACCAGTAGCTCCTCAAACTAAACGTATGGTTTTGCAAGATCTCTACTAAACTAACTAACTGGACAGGGACAGATGGCTTTAACTGTTTAATGTGTACTAAATTTTAGAATTTATGGTTTATGTCAAAAGCGGGACCATATTTACAAAAGTGTGAACTTCTAAAATACTGTAGTTAATTACCTACACCAGGATATTTTAATTTCCTAACTTAGGACGGTCTCCCCAAAACATTTACTTTACTGGTCTCTTAGCTAGAGGTAGGTCATTTGTAGGCCTTGTTAACACACTATGCGCACTTCATTAGTTCACTAATGTAATCGTCTGCAGGATAACCATGCACAGATCTCCAAGAACAGCAGCACATATAATAAATTGGCTAAATTTTATTTTTTCATGTAGGTTAACATGTCTTTATTTTCTCCTAATATTTCATTCTTTTGTGAAGAATGTGTAACAAGGAAAGGGTCATGAGGTTGAGTAATTGAAAGTCTTCTGCACCTTACAACCAAAGGCTGGGAGTCTAGCAATTTCTTTATATGCAGCCCTTTTCCCCGCCATTTAGAGTTTTGCAAATCATGCAGTCAATTCTGACCAATATCCAGCATAAAAAGTCTCTTTTCCACTTTCAAGCTTAAAAAAGTGATTCACAATCATGTGGCAGTATGATTAAAAATTACAGTTCCATACACCTTGACAATCAAAGGAGTTTGAATTATAAAAAGTAAACTGCCCTTATAGCTGCATCATCCTATATATGTAAGGACAGTGCCAGTTAATTTGTGAAAAAGGCAAGTTTAAGGTTTCTGTAAAACATGTATTACAGCTTTCTTGTGCTAGTGAACATCTAGAATACACAGGTTCCCAAGACGTTTTCCTTCCCTCCTCCCCCATTTATGACATTCAAAGAAATCACATAATTTTGGCAAAGTTAAAAGGGTTTCTGTCTTGATGTTTTTGCCTTCAGCTTCATGTTAGAGGCACAAACTTCTGGACTCAAGCACTATAAGGCATAGTAGAAACCACCAATTAGAACAACAGCAACACCACCACCACCACAATGGAATATACTGCAAGTGGGAACAGCTGTGTTATTTAAAAAGGAAATGTTTTTGTAAACTGTCACACTGCAATGCTGTGTTAGGTGATTCATGTAAAGCTTGCCTTGGCATGCCGAATATTATTTTTTTTTTTTTCAGAACATGCTCAAATGATCTAAACATTGCCACAGGTTCAACTTACCTAAAATATACCAGAAGTAGCCTAGTGGCACACTCTTGAAAACTTTTGCAATCACAATATAACTATAAAGCATGAGTAAACTTTTGTTTTGTTTTTATACAAAACTCAGAACCACATTTCCTTCTCCCCCACCCAGTATCCCATAAGAAAACAAAACAAAACAAAAAAATAAACCAACCCAAACCTTTGTTAGACACCACTGTCTGGTTTGGAGGTTTGGTTTTTTTTTTTTTTTTTTTTTTTTTTGCTACAGTTCCATTTATAGCACTGAATCCAGCATAGGCAATGTATTCCCAGGTTAAAAGAAGGGATATTATCAACTGTGGAACTGTGAAAACAGAAGCTCTGTTGCATTTATAGCAAGATCAAGACCAATTTTGTTATGCTGTATGCAAGAGTCACTGCTCTGATCCCCTTTTCAGAATGTCAGTGTCACTTTTTATAACCTAGATCTACCTGCTCTAGCTTTATTAAATAAAATGCTTTAATGCCTTAAAATCATTAACAATAGTTACTTTTTTGTTGTTGTTGTTATATCTAAGGTTTCTGAAGTTTCTGAAAAACTGATTGATTGATCTGATGTTCCGTATTTTCTTGTGGTATTTTTAGGGCAACAGCATATACTCATTAGTACATATGTACAACGGTTTGAAACACCTCTAAATTTACTTTTCTAATAAAGCCTATTTAAAAAGTAAAAGTAACCTAACATCAATCTGCCAAATATAAATTAAATTTGTATTTAAAAGCTTATGTTCCAATCCTAAATATAATGGCATAAGTTTCTCTAAGACTGGTTTCTACACCTGTAGAAAGCCCTGACAAGATTTAAACATTATTTTGAATGTGAATGGCCTCTGTCTGGGTGTCTCCAATTTACTTCTACTCAGGAATGTGCAAATGATTTTATATAGCACGATGCTAGTACCGCTCTGTACTATAGTAATTTTTTCTGTTTCGTAAATAAAAAACAACAACAAATCCCTAGTCAGAAATAAACTGACAAAATTTACATTCTTCTCTCTTAAAAAAGTAAATAAAATAACATTATTTAAAATGTGAATTAGCTATAAGACATACAATACAATTACATAGATACATATCAATACAGCACATTCAATTTGCCAAAAATTAATGATTACAAAGCCAATATGGATGCTGCCATATATATATATAGATGTATGTACAATGATTATAGCATTCATAATTGCACTATACCTACAACCAGTTTTAAATTACAAGGTGTTTTAAGAGGGAGCAAAAAATAGCAACTGTTCTTACTATTGTTGTTTTGGAGTTGGGAGGGTTAAGGATGAAAAACGTCTCATTAGTATTTATTGTTAACTTTGGTAATCAACTAATAAGCCATTCTTTTTTCCACCTCCCACCCGCTGCCACGAGGCAGCAATTTCTGTGTTAAGTGCACTCCAGTGCTACTTGGCATTGCCGATAATCAATCCAATTACTTGTCAGAACTCTGAGTTTTCTATAGCTTGCTAGCAATCATGCACCTGGTCAAAAAACACCTTTCAACCTAAGCTGCAGAATAAAGGCTCAATGTGTGCTGCATTTTTGTTGTTAAAAAAATTGCACATTTAAATTTCAAGAATGATTTTCTCACTGTTTCATTTACATTAATAAATCTTTTCTAAAGAACACTGAGAGAGGCTATTTTGCATGAAAGCCTATCAAATGTCTGTGAATCAGTTAGTTAACAAGCAACCTTATCAAGAAAGGTTCCTGAACGTGATCTCTCATCAAAAATTTCTTGGTATACAACTAAAGGTGCCTTGATATTATTACAGAAAACAATCTCATGCCACATCTGACATAAGGAGAGATTTAAACGGTCTTTAAATTGGTAGACCATATGCGTGTGCATGGCGCACCTCGTTCACTCACACTGTTGGTTTTGGCATTAGAAAATGGAACACTTTCTAAAAAAAGGGAACGTATGAGCTGAAACTGTGTTTGTTTATCATTTGGCAGTTGACTCAATCAGGCCAGTTCCCAACCCATCAGTTTGGCATTTCAATCAGTATCTTATGTTTCAAGAGCATTGGTTTTATAAAAAGCCAGATTTGGCAACATTAATTTTATACAATAAAAATAATTTTTCTACTGTGGAAAAAGAACACTTAAAAAAGCTCTAACTTAAGAAAAAAACCCCACACAACTGAAAAAACCCCACTGTTTCAGGCTGTAGCCACTGGGGAAAATGTAGTGTCTATGACATTTCTATTTGGCATTTGTGAATAAAAGAAAAGAGAAAAAAATGGCACATGGCAATTAAAAATTCTAAGATACTCCATGTACATCCTAGGTTGTGTCTTAATTATTTCATTACTGTCTTCTGTGCACCTTTCTGAATTGTGACCATATGGTTAAATTTAATATCCTCAGACAACTGTAATTCTATTTTGCAATCCCAATATTCCAATCCCAAAATTGAAGACAGAATGAAGACACTCATGCCAAGAATTTGAAAATCACAGTATCAATACTTTTGATCCTTCAGGAGAAAGTACATACTGTAAAATCAGAATGACTGATGACTTAAATTCTGATCATAGTATTTTCCTGACCACATCATTCAACAGAAAATACTTCACCCAGGAATGCAACTGGGAAAAAAAGGCCATTGTACCTTGTAAAAGATAACAGGGGAGGGGGAGGGGGGAGAGAGAAAGGGAGGGCCAGACAAAGAGGAAACCAGCTTGATTTTGCTTCAATAGCAAAAAAACTGCTATCCCTTGTAAATGTACGACTGAGAATTTAAAACACATTGAGTCACAAGGTTTTGCCTAAAAAATGAGGAAATGTGCTGTGAATGTACTTCAGCATCTTTTGGTTTTCCTCCATATAGTTTAAATAAAATCATAATATTAACTACAAACTCTGTGGACAGTCACAGAGTCCAGGCCGGCAATAAATTAGTATTATGCAAATTGTTTTCACAGATAATACAGTCCCTCTTGTATATCTTCAATCACGCAAAGTTGGTTTTGGAGGGCCTCCTAGGCACAGTTAGACCAGGTTGTACTCCTTCAGGTTTAACTGTAGGATCGTGTCCTTGACAGCAGCAAAGACGAAGCGGATATTCTCTGTGTCTGTAGCGCATGTGAAGTGGGAGTAGATAATTTTGTCACTGTCTGGATTCAGGTCTACGAACATCTTCAGGATAAACTCTCGTGCCGCTTGTGCATCCCGTTGTGGTCCTGATAATTAAGGAAAGAAAGCCAGTTTTCTTAAAGCCGAAGCAGTATTTGAACTTCTTTAATGGAAAACAAGAAAGGTTCAGTCTGTGGTCCTCCCATAAGAGAAGACAGGGAACTTTTTACTAATCAATAGGATCATATACTGGCTACTTTCTTCCTGGTAGGAACTATGAAAAATTAAGATGAAAGGAAATTTCAGAAGTTCATCAAATCAGAGTTATCATGTCAAAGCTTCTCTTTTCCTGCTGTTTTTTTTCTTTCTTCTGTAAAATAATGTTTAAAACTGGTGATTTATAACTGCATGGAATGAAAACTGAAAAATTAGCTATACTAATAAATCTTTAAAAATGTTAATAGAATTAGTGAATGTTCCACCTACATCTGCTATATTTACATTATACTTAAGTCCTTTTAGCACTGCAACATTTTCTTGTTTTATGCGTACTTTAATATGTAGCATAATGAAGTTATATTCTGAGCTAGTCTGACACTGTCATCTACTTTAGTGATAATAAAATACACGTGCTCTCCAGCTGAAGCAGTTTGATTGCAAAAGGCTCATGTTCTAACAAATCACTTATTATCTAAATTATGTATGATAATTGTCCTATCAGATCTAAATTAAGGTTGTAATTATCAGAAGGATAGAAAGCCTATATAACCAAACCACATGTTCAGCTGTACAGAAGACAGAAGGTAAAGTCATGACTTGACTTCCAGCCTGGAACAGTGAGGATTCATTCACGTTCACAGCCAAAGGAGCAATGCAGAAGCAAGAACATTAGCCACAAGCTGTTCTCTTCATTAGTCCTGTTGTTACATGGCGATATAAATACCAGCACTCAGCTGTTTCATGTAGTTCTGTACTTCGGTAGTTATGAAATTTGTTACTTTGGGGGTTAGCACATGCCCACATATTTTTCAACAATTGGCTAATACACCTTATTTTTAATACTTCAAGCTTGCAATTGCTAACATTTCAAATTTGGATAGCTCTATAAAATTTAGGCAGGGAATGCATGGAAGAGAAATGACATGCTTCCTGGTTTGCTGCAAATCCATGTGGAGGGGGAGTAAGATTCTGCAATATATATGTGTATGCACATGAACAGAAATGTACAGACATGTACATTCATACATATATACAGATGACAAATTTCCTGAGATTGAGGGATGTAAACAGATCACAAGCTTTCTGGAGCAGGACAGAGGACTGTTCCACACTTCTACAGCTTCTGAAACACAACAGGTTCCAGCCTTTGGCTTGGTCACCCAGGCTCCACAGGAACAGCAGCAACAACAAGTCTCATACTACCATGAATAAATTTGCAATATCTGTGAAGAAACTCTTAGAATTTCAAAGACTGATTTCTTAAAAAGAAACCACTTACTGAACAAATTCCTAGAATTTTGTTAAACAGTTTCATAGTAGCTAGACATAGCACACTCTCATTTGCTTACCTAATCATACCTCTACTGACTGTCATGGAATTTAAATTTTTGTTTGACTGAGGTTCAAGTATGGAAAATTTAGATCAGAAAGAACATTTATGACCTCAGAAATTTAGAAAAAATTTGAATGAGTCAATTCTAAATTTAGACTGCAAAGTGGTTGTAATCTAAGTAACATGGAGACTTGGAAAAGAACTGCCATATAAATCCATAGGTTTCTTCTCCACTGGTCTCTTCTCCCTGATCAGCAGTTTTTGAAGAGTGTCTCTACATGATACATTCAAGATCTATATAAGAACTACATCAGTATTTTTCTCTTCTTTTCCTCCCATTTATGCCTCCTTTTTGCATTTGTCGTCTCTCTCTCTCCCTCCCAGCTCTTCATTCCAGTCTGTAAGTCAATATTCTAGTACTAGCCATGCAAGGATGTCTTCATGCAATACATGCCTTCCAACACTGTTACAATACGCTGTGCAGCAGAACTGCTTAGCTTAACTTAATCAGTTCAATTTACCATCCTGGCTAGCAGTTTGCATCCCCATGCTACTTTCTCCGTTGTGCAGGAAAACAGATGGGAGAAGTGATCCAGCTGAAAAATACCTAATTCTGATCCCTTCCTCAGATACTCCCATCTCCCACATCCCCAGTGTGCTAGGTCAGAAAAGGGGACCACACGGTGACCTCTGCAAGCCACAGACCCCACTCTGCCACCAGAAGACGTCAAATCAAACCTTGCCTATGGAGTTAAGCCCAGCAAGATCTGCAGAATTAAGAGACAAAGATTCCTGAAGACGTCTAGATCTTGACTCTAACAACCCTAACAGTCCATAATCTTTTTTTCTCTCACTAATGGTAAAGGACGGGAGAAAGAGGGTTTCTCTGAGCTGAGTAGTTGAGTTTTGTCTGTTTTTTCTGGACAAGCAATTAACGCAGGCTTTATCGTCACTTGAGCGGTGATAACAGAGCAGACTGTAGAGTCTTCTCACCTTCAGGATGTCACCTAGGGAACTTGTGATACAAAGTAAACTCGAAAGAATGAGCACATTTCTGTTCAACTGCCAGTTCTCTTCTGCATAGCACTATGAAACTAAACTTACACTGACTCATAAATAATACGGTCTGATCCTGCAGGCTGTTCACTGTTTCCTTCCCCTTAAGCAGGAAACAAAATGTACATTTTTCCTATTATTACTTTCCATATTTGAATATGAGAGATTTAATCTTTTATTCAGCTTTCAACTCTGCTATTCACTCCCTGGTGGGACAAAACAATTTTCTTTTTTTAAAAATAGGAGCATTTAGTTGTTTAGCCCTCTTATTATACGAGTTTGATTTTTCTGTTACGAAGGCCTCTACTCAGTTAACTCAAAATACTTAGCTCTTTACCTCAGGAGAACTTTCTGAAAGTACAGTTCTAGCAGAAACAGTTGTACAATCCAGGTAATTTTTTTTATGGACAAGCACATTAAGCTTCACATAAATAATGTAAAATTAAAATAAAGGAAAAAGAAAAGGTACAATGAAAGGGTGGAAGCAGTGGTACTGGTTTCTCTGAGTGCCACAGAGAGCTCATGACACTTTCCCTCAGATACTCAGCCTTACACAAAACCAAACCTCAAAAAAAAAAAAAAGAGTATGGGAGACAATGTGTAAAAGTGAGGAATGAATTTTTATTTCTTTTTAGCTTTTATACTTCAGTTTAAACCCTCACCCCAACTTAAGAAAAAGGACAGACTGTGGTTCACTGCTAATATGACAATACTTATCTAAAAGTCAACAATTTCCCATGAAAAGTTCTGCCATCCTACCCATGATTACAGTATAAGATGAAATCCTTGCAATCTAAAAAAAATCCCACAAGAGTTCAATCATATGTTAAAATGTTCGATAATTAAAAATTGCAAAGCACCTCTTTTTTTTTTTTTTTAAAGAGCGAAATATACCAAAAGATCTATCTGTCTAGCATGAGGACAAGGCTATTACCATTTGTCATTACTGCAGTGTAAATAGAGCATGGGCTCTGATGTCATTATACTTACCGTCATACTCTGGAAAATAATCAACTAGATGGGAGTACATGATTTTCTCCTCTAAGAGATCTTTTTTATTTAAGAACAGAATGACTGAAGAGTTCTGGAACCATGGATATGTGATAATTGTCCTAAAGAGTGCTTTGCTTTCTTCCATTCGATTCTGGAATAAAAAAGAGAGTGGAATTTTGGTGGTCATGAAAATAACTTTAAATTTTGTTTTTAAATAAATTCACGCAATTTCACTTTATTTTTTAAATGGATCCATTTCATGTTTTGCACTTTCCTACCAATATGTAAGGTTCAAGTAATTAAATTACAATTAATAAGTAAGCAGTTAACTAAATATGCAGGCATTTTCCTTTTGCACATTCAACTCCTGAAACATAAGTACTTGTTAAAACACCGGTCATGAACATGGAAGCTGTGACAAGTACATCTGGAAAGCCTGAGAATGCACAGTTATGACCAGCCAATGAACAGGCGGGTATTGAAATGCATGTGATTCATGGTAGGAACAAATATACCGCCATGAGACATAATTATGTTCTTAAACCTTGAATTGGCTATTAATGATTTATTTTATAGGCTTTCCCTAAACTTTAAATGCAGAGTTAGATAACTCTTAAAAGAGACCAATCAGCTTTAAAATAGCTGCAAGTAAATTTGGAACCTGAGAACATTTTGTCAACACCAAGGCTTATGACATGAAATCTTAAAAACCCCTAAACTGCTAAATTTGTTTCTAAGATCATTGGGTTAGCTTTTACTTTAATTGCTTCACTGCTCCGGAAAACCACTTTGATTGTAGCTGAAATGTAAGTGAAGCCTACAGTTCTATTTGTAACACTTTTCTGTCATTGATTTGATACAGTTCTGAAGAACTGTTAGGCTGATGAGATGTGGTTAATATAGAGTCAGAACAAGTTGAGTTCAAAACAAATGAATGAACTTACTCTTTTTATTATTTAAAGCTGCAGCCCCCTGAAAAAAACACGTTTCACCATCAAATGGGGCTACAGAAAACAACAGCAAGGAGGTGTATCCTGCAGATTCTGCTGTTGCTGAGTCATACAACAATCTGTCAGATAACTCAGTTTTGCAGTAAGTGTATCTTTACTTGTGTTAATTTGCATTTTAAAGAGACCAACATAAACATGAGGAATAGGAACTTTAAAACAAACAAACAAACAAAACCCAAAACAAACCCTAAAAAATTCCATTTTGTAGAAGTTGATGGTTTGGTCACTTATGTCACCACAGAATCGTCAAGCCATTTATTACCATATTACCACATGCTGGAGAATATATTTATATTTATATTTATTCACTGAAGAACTCAGCATGAAGTTATAATGAAGAGCGAGTGCAGTCAACTTATGTGCGGGTAGCTGACAAACATCAAACACAAGCTCTGAAGATGAAAATTAAGAGAAGAATTAATTTCTTATGTTATTAATATGTAAAGAAACTGGAAGTAGCACAATGCTAACTATAAATACGCAGTACTTCTGCAAAGCTACTCTTTTCCTTATTGTTAGGCTTAAGTAAAGATCTTGCTGTCAGATGCTCTGTTACGAAAGAAATAAGAAAGTATCATCATATGCTCTTCCATTTCTAAGTTGCTCTTCTAAAGAGGCAAGCTTCTACTTTCTCTGCACTAAGACACTGGGATGCTTATATTTGTAGAACAATTTTAGCTTTATTTCACCAGGAACCACTCATTATAAAATTAGAAACTGTCGTTTACAGTTTAGTTCCAAAATCAAACTCTTCATATAACAAAAATACTGCTCCTTCCCAATACACACTCAGGGTCTAGCTACCTGGATGGCTTCTGAGCAAGGGCTAGGTCTACCAGTGGTAAAGACACTACTATTATATGGCAGCAGTTACTACTTTAATCTAAAAGAAAATAGAAAGCATGGTTATGTACATACGTATCAGCAGGGATGCTGCTGCACTGCTGATATGATTAAGCACCATACAACACGAATGAGTAACAACCCCACCTTTAATTTGTTTAAATGTAAACAGCTGTAAGCGCTCACAGTAACTGTCACACATCTTCCACTAGAACACCACTGAAAGGCAACAGAATATTGACTCTGAAACACTGGCTGGAAGGCATCTCTAGAGTTCATCTAGTTTAGTCTTTCATTCAAGTAGGACTACTGACAACATGGGAGCATGTCAGTCATGTCTTTGTCTTGGCAAGTCTTGAAAGCCTGTACAGATGGAGATTTCAATACCCCTCTGGTTTCCCTGTCCCACTGCTAAACACCCACGAGAAAAATGTTTCCTACTATACAGCCTGAACTTCCCAAGCCACAATTTGTCAAATTGTCTACCTAGAAAAGTTTGGCTCCATGGCACGCTTGCAACTCTTCAGATACTTGCTGGCAAATATAAGTGTCTCTTCACTAGACTAAACAAACTCAGGTCCCTCATCATGTCTTCATAGGATGTGGGCTCTGGACCATTCATGCTTCTCCCAACAGTTTATGTGGTCGTGAAATTGTATTTATAAACCCTTTGCGATTATTTCAGAGGGAAAATGAAGGGAATTGTATTAAGGATGGTGAAGAGACATTTTGATATACTGTCACTCAGACATGTACTCTAAATGTTTGCAGGAACTGAAAGATGGACTAGAGAATTTTAAGTACATTTCACCTGCTTGAGCAGATAAAACAATACAGGTCCTGAGTTTACCATAATAGATTAAACATTCTAACATGGCTTCACTACTTCATTTTAGAAAGATTCAAGGACAAAAAAAAAAATATGATGGAATTCATTTTTTGACTAATCAATCTCTGCTTAACTTTCTGCAGTCTTTCATCTATCTGTTTATCCAACGTCTTAAGAGCAAATCAGCTTTTATGGATGTCATGGCAGATAAAATTATTTTTATTCCAGCAGCAATTTCTCCAACAATATTGCTTATTATTCTCTAAAATTTCTCTTGAACAGGTTTTATGTTGCTCATGATAGCTCGTGCCATCGCATGCTCACCATTTTCCTTTATTAAACATATATGCAATATTACTGCCATGATATTTTTCCTCAGTTCAATTAAAGAATGTTTGACAAGATGAAATTGTTCAATTGTTCAATTCACTGTTCTGAAAAACACTTGTCATTAACAGGATGCACTTTTTCTTATGTAAGAAACAGTTTCATGTTACAGTATTTTTACTGGAAATAGGGAAAGGATTATAAGGAGTATAGAAAAAGGCCAGCATTGGGGATCTGACCTTCTGTCAGATGCAATGGGAAGGAGGTCTTGCCAAACCAAGCAAGACAGCATGGCTCTTCAAAAAGAGAACAAGAACAGTGGGGAGCAGGCAGTATTTAATAGTTTGTTCAAGCACTTGATCTGATTTTATGAGCCAGCTCTGCCTCACCAAGTTGCTTCCAGAAAAATCTTATCTCAGCTTCAATGGAAAAGGCTGCAGAAACAAACTTGTGAATAACTAACGTAGAGAAACACGCAGCTGGAACTGGCTCAAGGCTTTCTCAGTAGCTGACAGTCATTCTCCACAGTGATGCCAACCTTCACAGCAACCCCCCTCCGACAGCAGCAACAGCTCGTTGTGGCCTTCCTGGCTTTGCAGGCAGCTAGCACAAGGAAAATGAGCAGCGGGACCTTTGTTTTCACCACCCCCCAAGATCTGCTGGCCTGGGCAACTTCCCTGTCTGCAGTCAGTCCCAAATTACATAAAGACATACTGATATCACCAGCCATTACTCCATTTTTCTCATTACGATATACAGATGTCTGCATAAAATTCTCCCATTCCCCACACAACCTGACACAGTCACCAGTCCAATGTAAAAATACCATCGTGAAACACAGAATAAAAAATACAGCAGGCAAACTCCACAAGTGAACGGAAATTTGTTAACTATAAACAGATCATAAAATCTTGGAAAAGCTTATTCCAATTTCTTAGTAAACACCAAGAAATAACACTGTACTTATTCACAAATCAACAAATCACGGGACTGTCCACTTTTATGACTAGAAACATATTTTTATGAAATATAAATAACAATAAAATGAAATTTCTTTCTGCCATGTACCTCTTACTATATAAAAGATTATATGCTGCTAAGTTTTTGTATGACGGTTAAACACAAATATAACTAGACATACAGACAATGTTTCCTCACATTTTTATCCAAATGCAAACTCTTACTCTTCCTCATTTTTAATAGATAAAAAAAGAGTATACTTCCACTTTTTTTTTTTGTTTTTTAAACTATGCTTTCAGTTTTCATGTTAAAATGATGGATTTCTATTTTGGATTTATGTATTGAAATTCTTTTTGCTATCTGTTGCTCTGAAAGTATATGCAATTATTCCTGCAATTACAGAAATAACAGAATTGGCATAATTTATAAGCACCTGACTCTTAAGAAGTCGAATCCTGAAAAATACCTGAAAAGCACTGAAGTAGCATTTAAAAGCTGCATCAGCTGGTACCCAGTGAAAGGAAAGCAGCATTTCCCGGATAACAAACATAATACTTTGACAGAAAGGACCATGCACAGTGTTAATCTGAAACAATACAGAAGCAGTTGTGGAGTTTCACCCACTACTATCTCCACGATTGCCTAGAGTGGCATCTAGTGGGCATACTGTAATTACATACTGAATGGAAAATGTAGTAATTAATTTTTGTCTTAAAAATTGTTAGTACTTTAAATAGTGCCTGTTAACAAAATTAGTATTTCACAAATTTTGAGGGATGAATTTTGTTGAGATGATGAGAGAGAAGGTGGTGAGAAGGTAAACAAGGCACACTTTTCAGTCAACAATTTGCATTGTGTATATAACTACAGTTATGCTGGTAACAAATGTTTGTTTGAGTGAAATGGCATTCAGAAACGGTAATTGTAGAAGAGGAGGTACTGATGCAAGAGAGCTTCAGAAAAAAAAAGCAAGGGTTAGAATTTCGGAAGTTGTTTAGTATCACAGTAATGGACTCTATTATTTTATCTGACAAAATCTTGTGCATGTGAATGGTTTTTCTGTGAAGGTGCATATTAATTAGGAATGTCTCCATTCCCCAAGTAAGACTTCCATCAATTATTTAACTAGAAGCACTGTCTGGCTGCACAGAAAGGCCTACAGTGTATTCCTTGGCTCAAGCT